CTGTCCGGGTCTGAAGCCCGCGGCTGCCAACTGCAACTTCTTTGGCTGGTGGCTGCTGCTGGTGCGCCCCGCAGGTGACCTTGAACCTCTGGGGAGGAGAAACAAAGGCGGAGAGGAGCTGAGACTTTTTTAAAGGACCCCACAAATGTAAATGGCTCTCCATTCTCCCAGAGGGAGTCTTGATGGAGAACCCTGTAAATAGTCTGAGAACTCTGCGGAACTTCACGGGGGCTCCTTCAAATTGTTGGGTTTCTTAACCCTGACGTTTTGCAGACAAAATTTAAGATAGGAAGGTATCCCAAGACAGCTCAATAGAACAGTAAAGCATAATGAAAATTCAGTCATGTCCTAAGTGTGAACGTTCGGTTCAGTTTCTATAGCTTCGGGTTTCATCATGGTGTGCGGTTCCGAGAACCTTTTTCGGAGACCAGTGGGCTTTTGAAGTTGTAGTCAGTTATCAGCGTTCCTACAACGTACATACAACAAAAAGTCTTATCAGCCAGGCATGGTGGCTTCTGTCTCTCATCCGTAGAGACAAGAGGATCAGGGAGTTCAAAGCCAGCCTGGGCTTCAGGAGACTTTATGACAAAAAGCAAAACAAGTCATCTGAAGAATTTGTCTATTCATACTAAACTGTTGAAACATTCCTGAAATTGTCTGGTAGGTTTTACAATCTAATTTGTATTGAAATTCTCTTTCCTATTAGTGTCCTAGTGACCACACAGATATTCTGAACCACAGTAAAGTATAATGGGAATTCTACTTTTAGCCACATTTCTAAAACCTGTGTAAAACCATTGTGTTGTCAGCTACACTCAGCTTTGTATTGTCCTGACATCAAAATTAATAGTCAAAAGTTTTTTGTTTTTTGTTTTCCCCCCCATTGAATGGAAATGAGCACCTTTAATCCCAGCACTCAGAAGGCACAGGCTGGTTGGTCTCTTGAGTTCCAGGCTAGCCAGAGCTACATAATGAGACTGTGTCTGTAAATAAAGTTTTTGCCCTATCACTTGGTTGGACATTTTAGACCTGCTTTTATACTCATGCCTCCTCCCCCACCCCAAAAAAGGACTTCAGTTTTGAGCCTTTTTACAGTTCTTTATATGAAACTCCATTCTTTGAAAGCTTGTAATTCTGAATTTATGTCAACTCTCCAATGCAAATAAAATACATGCTTTTTAAGGCAGGGTGTAGTGACACATGCCTTTAATCCCAGCACTTGGGAGACTGACACTGTGGAATCTCTGTGAGGTAGAGGCCAGCCTGGTCTGCCTACTGAATTCCAGGCCAGCTGGAGCTACAGGGAGATCCTGGTCTAAAAAAAAAAAACCTTTGAAAATACAGAGAGGTCTGGGAGTGGAACTCAGTGATAGAGTATTTATCAAGCATGCTTGAGGTACTGGGTTCCATCTCAGCAACAGCAACAACAACAAAAAAATCAATAGATCAATAAAATGCTAGAGGGATGAAAACCCACTGCAAATCTGAATCGCCAGCTAAACATTATAGAAAAAAATTCCCTTCTTTTCTATGTAAAGGTAAATGCTAAAGTTTCTCTGATAAAGTTACTGACACGATCACTAGTTCTCTTTGCTCAATACCTTATACATAAGCATGAATCCAATTCATGCTAAAATACCTTTATAAGAAATCTTTGCAACATCTCAACATCTATAATCCCAGCACTTGGGAGGCTGAAGCAGGAGGATTGTCAAGAGCTCAAGGCCAGCCTTAGCTATAGAGACTCTGTCTCAAACCAAACAACAAATTATGTACACTTGTTAAAATTGCAACATTTATCCATGTCTTTATCCATACCAAAATTGTATCTTCTCACAGTCCTGCCAGGGAAAATGGGCTCATGGTTATACAGAAGTTAAGTATTTTTCTCCTGACACACTGGCCACTTTGTTTTTTTTCAAAAGTCTCAATGTTTCTTGTTTCCCCTATCTTAGTAACTGTTCTTCTAGAAATGAAAAGAAACAAACCCAATTCCCATGGCAAGTCACTGTACTACTCTAGAATTCATTATTTAGGGCTAGATCTGATTGTCAAACAAGATATCTAAGTGTGTAAATTACTCCCTGGGAATAAGTGAAACTACAGAAAAATCATACACCATACCAACTTTGAAAAGGCTTGGAAACTATTGAGGATTGTCTGGGAAATGCTTTAACGCTTTAGGTCTTTTAATAGAAACTCTAGTAGTTTGTGATTTTCGAGTGGCATAGCATCACCCCATACATGTTTCTACACACAATAACAGTGTAACGTAGGTGTGAAAAAATGAGGAACTTTAATTTTGTATGTGGGAAAACAGCAGCTCTGGATAGTCAGGTCACACATCCCAAGGGTGGAGAGCAGGAAATGATGAATTTGTGGGACTGGTTCTAAATCTACTGTTAGATTTTCCCAGAAGCAGGCTCTGAAAAGAAGTTAGGAATGTAAAGGCTTGGGAGGGGCAGGGGCAAGTACCATCTGTGAAAGCAGAGAGCCAAGCAAAGATTGTTCCTTTAAGGAGCTACAACTTTGATGGAAATATTTAAGCCTTGCTTGGCCATTGGCAGAGGATCACCTGAGAAAAGCATAGGAAATTGAATTTGATGAAATTGACTCTGAGGACCTAACAGCTGGTGCTGTCACTTTATCACTCCTTATAGCTGACAAGTTTTGTGACAGAGACTTATTTTGTAGCTGAGACTGGCCTTGAACTCACCAGCCTCCTGCCTCAGCCTTCCATGTGCTAGGATTGTGGATGTGCACCACTACACCCAATTACTACTAGGACTCTTCTTCCAGTAACTGTGAGGAAGTCCACATCCACACAGTTTGCCTTGTGGGCTGCTTGGCTTCACTCCATAGAAGCATTTGGGGACCTGCTCCTCCATGGCTGTGGTAAGCCTCTCTTGTGATGAGAAACAGGTGAGTTATGATGGATTGCAGCCTCCATGGCTCCAGTTGCTCTCATGGCATACGTGGCACTCACTATCTCCCACTTCTGCTCGGCATTCTAAAGCTCCTGTCCCCCTACTAGTATCAGTTTCTCACTGGTACTCTATCCCAAACCCTCCTCCTTGTGAGGTCTGAATCCTGGTAATTTTACTCACATATATACTCACATAATTTTACTCACTATATCACCATATACGTCACAATTAACAAAGATTGTAACAAGGGCCTGTAATCTTAGCATTTGGCAGATCAAGAGTTCTGGGCCAGCCTCAGCTATGTAGTGAGTTTTAGGCTAGTCTGGGTTACATAAACCCTGTCTCAACAAATCAAAGCCAAAAAAAGAGTGTACCAGCAGCCACCCCAGTGAGTCATTTGAGTTCCATATGCATTCCTCCCTGTTCCTATCATGTAACAACAATCCTGCCTCCTCCTATTGCTCAGAATCAAGAAGCTCTTAGAAGATACCTACCCTCTCCAGATGTGGTGGCACACCCCTTTAATCCCAGCTCTTGGGAAGCAGAGGCAGGCAGATCTCTGTTGAGTTCAATGCCAGCCTGGTCTACATAGTGAGTTCCAGGACACCTGGGGCTACAGGGAGACCCTGTCTCAAAATAATAATAATAATAATAATAAATAAATAAATAAAAAATAAGACACCTACCTTTCATGTTGCCCTGGCAGACAGAACCCAAAGGGTCCAGGTGGAAAGTAGAGCCTTGGAGTTCAGTGGATCCTTTGCTATGTCCCTTGCAAAAATAAACCTCTGTTGAGGATCAAGACCACTAACCCTGCAGAATCCAGAACTGTAGTGACCTCTCGTGAGTCTCAGAGTGTAGAGATTGAAGCCATTCTTGCTCTCTCCTCTTGGTTCTCAGACTCAGTGCTCCACTTAGCTCAAAATTTCTAGAGGAAACACTTTATAATATACTAAGTGCGTCTGTAAAGTGGGTTCTCTGGTTCTCTATGTTGTTTCAAGACTGACTATAGACCATACATTCTGTAAGTGACTTGATAGTGGTGATGCCTGAGACTCTGAAGGCAGGAAGGGCAAACTCATACTCAGTTGAAAAATCTATTCCAATGAGAAAAACACTGACCCCTCCAAAGGAGAGAGAAGGATCCGTGTAGTAGACCACTTGCTGCCAGGTGGCTAGTTGAGTCCCTCATAAGGCAGTCATTAGAGCAGCCTGGGTAAGTGGGTTTTATCAAATCATGTACAGATTCCATCTCCCCCACTGTGACCATTCTTCTGTTTTCTTTTCATGACAGTGAGCATTAGCTGATTATTTTGTTCACTTAGCTGTTCGATGCCCATGCCATGCAGGTGCCTTCTAGAAGTCATTAGCATGTGATTTAAAAAAAAAAACAACTCATAGCTGGGGGAGGTGGAACATTCCTTTAATCCCAGCACTCAGGAGGCAGAGTTAGGTGGAACTCTGTGAGATTGAGGCCAGCCTGATCTACACAGTGAGTTCCAAGCCAACTGTGGCTACAGGGAGACCCTGTCTCAAAAAATAAAGCAAAACAGCAAAACCCTTCATGCTTCCTTCCACTCTCATATATGTACAATCATTTCTCTATGTCCTAATTATTCTAATTTTTCTCCTTCTAGGATCTTGACCACCGCTGTCCACAAGCTTATATTTTGACTCTGGGACACTTCTTTCACACAAAGTGGCTAAGTGGGTATACTTCCTTGAAGTCTGCCTGCTGGGGATATTTATTCCACTGTTTTTCATCACTGTCTTTCAGGTCGCCCTTGGATAGGGGTTTGATGTAGACAGAATCTCTTCTGCAGTTTCCCCTACATATGAAATCAACTTATCCGTAAACCAAGTTTGGGGGTTTTCCTGCCCCTTCAAATGTTTGAATGGCAATCCTATAGTGAGCTAAAGAGAGATGCTGCTTTTAAGTGAGGGCTATGATGAGACATGATAGATGTCACAGGTTGCTCA